GCTCAGCCTTCCTTATGGTCCCACTTTCACAGCCATCCTTTGCAACTGGGAAAACCATCGCCTTGACTATACACACTTTTGTTGGCAGGGGAATGTCTTTGCTTTTTAGGATGCTATCTAGATTTGCCATCTCCTCCGCAGGTATTGGAGTTAATACAGACTATTATAAAGCAGCAGTTGGAACCTCCCAGTTCCGAAATCTTTGAGTCTCTTTTCCCCTCACTTTTTTTTCAGTTCCCAAATCTCCTATTAATCTTGTTGTTGAATTCCACTGGTTTATAAATGCCAAAGTTTGCTGGCACCACTGTGTGCTTTTTTTTCTCCCCCTAGCAAACTACATGATAAAATGGTTGGGTAAACCCTAGAATAAACTTAATCCATTAAACGCGAAACAAACAAAGGCCAGATTAATTCTGCCAAGAAAGTAGGGGGTGGGGAAAATAAACTACAGTCCTAACCCAAAAATTTATTGCAACTCGGGCCAAATAGAACTTTTGCCAGAGTGGGACGTTTATTTCATGTTTTTCCTATATAAAGTTAATAGCTCTTTATCACTTTTAAGCCAGCAGTCTTTAAAAGACCTAATACCTGCCTCTCTGGGATGGAATTCATGGTGAACTGTGTTTTTTGATGTGGAGTTTGTCTTTGAAATTTTTTTTTCAAAGTGGCAATCACTTAAAGCAACAGGAATTGATTTCATTTTTTAATTTCTGTTTGGAAAATGAGAGAGGGAGCAGAGAGCTAAAATGTTCTGAATAATTTCCCCAAGTCGTCAAACATTCCTAGCCTTTGTGATTGGCATCCTCCATGTTTACCAGCTTGGGGTGTGTAGAATTCCAGGCACGCAGTGCAGAATCTGCTTTTCTGGCACAAATATATTTTCTCTCCCTCCCCCTGGTGAAAAATTCCACAAAGTGGAAGATAAATTTATCTTGCCTGCAAAGTAAATCAATGACTATAAAATGAACCAGCCACTTGGAGAGAAAGCAAGTAGGTGAAATTTGGGGTATTGGGGGGGGGGGGAGAGAGAAGGGAGAAAAAGCAGAAAAGGAGGAAAATGAATCTTTGTGAATAAAACAAATTTGAGGAACTGTGCAAATATTGGCAAGGGGGGTCTCCCTGGATTAGAACAATCTGTGCGGAGGAAACATGCGCTCAAGGCAAATATTTGAATGCGAAACTGTTCGTGCAGTTTTTTCCAGTTAATCGTAATTGTAAATTGTCTTCTTCTTTTAGCCCAGCCAATCGGCACCAAGATCCTTGGCAAGCAAGACGTGGAGATGAATTCTCATTTGCTTAGATGATACAAGGCGGAGATGTGACTGTGCCAAGGTTGGTGTCATTGGCTGGATGGTTGGATCCAGCCTGATTAATTAGGGCCCTTGCCAAAGGCAGGAGTTGTACCACCCAGCGTTGAGTGGGAACAGCCAAGGCTGCCATGTGGGTGGAGGGTTGAGATCCTAGCAGGGGTCTCTAACATCCCATCCAATCTCCCACTGAGCTGCAGTTCTGTTCTGACCGAGGCTTCCCAAGAGCACGAAGCAAACTCCTCATCCCGACAAAAACCCTTTTTATTAATTGACTGAATTCTGCTCATTCACATCCAGCAAAGTCTTTCCAGGGAGGTCACAGACTTATCTGGCTTGGAGAGCTGCCAGGCCGATATCTGCAAAACTTGGCAAGGAGCCTCGGAGAGTCACGAACCAATGAAATGAACTAATGGTCTCCTGCAAACTCCATTCCCCTTTC